GTCTAACGACTACGGCATGCACGACTATGAGTACACCCCCCCTCCCCCTGCTCGGTTGGTTGCCGTTCGGGTCTTTTGTCCGATATTTTTCCTCTTCCGTTTCTCCACGCGTAGTCTGCTGGCCTTCTCTTCCTCCTTGTGCCATTTGACCATGAACCTCTTGTGCCTCACCAACCCCCTCGCTCCGAGAGTCAGCAGGCACGCGGTATCCCGAACGTTCTTTTGTCGTTCCCCGTGGGTTCGATTGTGGCGTCGAACGCTGTACAGTTGACCTTCAAGAATTTCGCCCAATTCTGTTCCGGGCACACACCCCTGTCTGGGTCCTCCGCCCCAACCATGTCGTCGAGTATCACTCGCTTCGGGAGTCGCCCTTCGTGTTGTCCGGCAAATGCTCCAGCAAACAGCAGCCTCCGTAGCCGGACCACTGTATTTGCTTTCCACGCCTTGGCATCCGACCTTTCCAAGGGTCTGAGCGTATGAGAGCTGCCGATAATGACCGCGCGTGCGGCGGTACCCGATAACCCGAAGGAGAAGCTGGTGGTGTGCACTCGTCAGCAGATTGTAGTGGTCGCAGCGCGGGGCTCACGTCATGCATCCGCTGAGCAGGGCCTCCATCACCTCGGCATCCAGAAGCCGGACGTTTACTTGCCACGGTGCTGTCTGCTGGTCGAAGAGCTCCCGGGCGTACTTGCAGAGACCCGCCCGCGCTGCTCTGCTCCTTTGAGTGACGATGATACTTTTCACGAAATTAAGTAACTGGGCAAGGGCAAGCGATAAAATTAACCACCACACCTGGCAAGGTACCCCGGGAGGACAATTTTTTCTCTTGTTCTTCTTGACCGTATGCATCGTGTGATGCGCGTCTAGCCTGTTGACCTGTTGTTCCTTCTACAGATGGATGATACACTGGCACACAATATGCCTTTCATGCCTTCGCCAAGAACACGTTGTTGTTGGCGGAGAACCACACGCAACCATCCACACCATCCACGTATCCTCAAACCAATTTTCAGTGAAGCTTGAAGCCCTGAGAAACATCACGCCTCTTCGCGCACGAGCAAAGAACCCCAATGCTCGACGGAAATCGCGGATCGTATGTAAGAGCTCGCAATTATGCTGAGTGTTCCGTGCCGCCTACCGTTCGGTCCTCCAAATACGTTCCGACGAGCATTGCCGCACTCAACACTACGCCAACTCCGGAAACCGCCGTTCGTTCCGGGGTGAGTTTACGCCCCCTTGAGCTTACGGCTCCTCTTCCTCTCTTCCCCCTCCTCTTCCTCTTCCCCCTTCTCTTCGTCCCTTTCCTCCTCGAATTCTCCCCCCTCCTCTTCCCCTGCCCCCCTCTTCCTCTTCCTCACTGCTCTCCCCCTCTTCCCTGGACGACGAGTCCGGTAGTACTTGCTGCGCGCTGCGGACGTATTTGGCTCGCCTTCCGCCATGAAACGCCTGCAGAGTTTCTGTCATCCGGACCCTTCTTCAGGTTTCCTGCTGCCTTCGATTTCGCTTCCTTGCTCACGTCGTGGCTAGCTATAAATCACAGTATGGGGATGGATCCGTTTGTCTCTGTGCCATTGACGAGCCCTGCTGTTCCTGTAGTCTGGTAGGACACACGGTACTTTCACACCCAATGGACAGCTGCCTGGGCTAGGCCTACTACTGCGTCCCCTCCTGAGGGTTGGCCATTGCGGCATGGGGCTATAGCTGGAAAACTGCAGTTTAGGGCATGGGTTGTTAAAGCGGAATAATATCCTATGAGTTTGTTGGCTTCGGTCCTAGAGTGCACACCCAATATAAGGGTGTCCCCTGAACGCCCTACCTACCGTAGAACATATAATCTTAGCGACGTGTTCGCTGTGTGTGGCGCGCGTGCTTTTGTGTTTCTTAGCCATCCTTTTGCATTCGTTTTGTTTAGTTAGGTGCACATGTGGAGACTACCTTCTTCATAAAGGTACAACCTCCCCAACGTCTGTCGAGGACGGTTCCGTCTTTTTACAAAGGCGTCGACGAACAAATGTATGTCTGGGTGTGCTTTTGTGTGCACGGTTTTTTTTTCCGGGCGCCAACTGCATGTATGTGTGCATTTCGTACCGACGCGTGCGTTCGTCATGACAGGTCCTTCGTGGGTGTACCGGGACCGGACGATCCGTTGAGCATCGCGGCGAGAGCCACCGAAACCTTGCAGACTTGGCTATATTCTGTGATTCATGGCACTCCCAATTTTTATTTGGCAAAATTTTGGCTGTCGGCTTTGATCCATCGCTCCGCCTCAGGGTATCTCATTCGTCGACTCTCTCTCTCTCTCTCTCTCTCTCTCTCTC